ACCTTCAGCAAACCAGCAATGCATTATATATTATTCATCTCTATTCCTACCAATGTGGTCACCATGACCTCCATGATGTCACCACAGACAGCCTGTTAGACCTGACAGCCCATTTAAACTTAGAGATCAAAGCAGGCTTCTCTCTCCTCTTAAAACAATAGGCTCAGAAAAGGGCCAAGAGGTAAACTGCCAAACTCATAAAACAGCACTGAAAGTTAGCCGTCCACAATCCAGATGCCTCCTTTTACAGCCCTCAACACATAATATTTTTTTACAGCTCCATACACAAAACAGCCCTGCTGATTTCTAATAGAAAACAACATGGCTATTTGTGATGCTGCTTGCCTAAAACTGATGTTTTCTCATGTGTTAAGAATGCTAGATGGATGATTCACCGTTCACTGCAAAATCCTCAACCCAACTTTTTTTATGGGTTCATTGCACTTTTTGTCAGGGTCATTGCATCCACACACTCCTCTTTACAAGTTCTAACACAGAGAAATAATCTAAAACACATGAACTCCAGTTTCTGCCTCCACAGGAAGGTCTTTGGGTCAGGGCAGGGATCTCTGGACAGGAAGTGTCATTGGACAGGGACCAGCTGGTAGAGATGGGTTATCAGGTTCATGTGATGTTAACTGCTTTGTTTTCTTTCTGACAATTCCAGGAATGCATGAACCCCTGCTGTAATGCTACCACATGCACCCTGAAAGGGGATGCTGTGTGCGCTCATGGACAGTGCTGCGAAGACTGCAAGGTAAGAACGTTCATGCAAAAACTACATCTGTTTCTTTGTACCACCTTGCTTAAGTTTTACTCACTGAGATAATGTTGGTAGCTGGCAAAGTTCTGAAACTATATTTTCAGAGTAAGTGCACAACAGTTCATTAGCCTGAAGGTTATTAAGGGACTCATAATCGTGTGCTGGTATGCACGCAGTGACTTAATATCAGCTTTGGCTCATTTAAGCTTTGTACTTTTAGTTTAATAGGCAGGTTTCAAGCAAGGTGAAGCTCAGGTTAGACTGCAGAAATTTGCTTTAATTTAATTATTTGATCATTTTAGTTTGCATGACAAACTGAAATACCACATCTCATGTGGGTCCTCACTTTACAAATACATATACATACATATATACATACATATCTATACATACATATATACATACACGTATACATATATATATATATATATATATA